TTAAGGTATTTATACCACAATTCTAATATCTACATCTAAATAAGTCTTCGTTTTCATTTCGTTCTACTCGTTGTTTGGTTCAAAGTTACTGTAATGATTGTAGTAGTAGAAGTAGTAGTAATACGCACGGAATTCGGAACAACAACTACGCAGTATGAATCACAGGGCCCGAATCGATAATCAGCTATCACGGACTGGATCGCAGAAGCAATGTCCCACGAGAACGAGACGCGAGGAAAAGGCCAGAGGACAGGCAGTAAGTGATTCATTTATTGGAAGAAACGAAGGTGACTAAATAATATGTACAAAGGGAGATTATTGGCTACCAGGGCTTCAACCAATTGGATTGCAGCACTGCTTGCATAATCTTGCTTCTGTCTGCATTGTCTAGGATTGGTTGGCACCATCCACCAATGACGTGTATTCAGAAGCTATGGACGTGCTATTGACGTCAATATTCAAACTTGATTGATCGCGAATGTCCTGAAACTGTAACGCACCGCTCCAGGGTAAGCACCATCGTGTGGGCCTGGATCACCGCAGTTACCCACCTTCGTCTGCTTTTCCTAATCATCCATAGCTCTTCCTGCATCCATCGATTTACTTCCAGGTGGCAGATTGTCTAATCTACATTATGCAGACGACATTGTGCTACTAAATGAAGATCGAGATAAGTTTCAAGCTTTTTTGAACAGTTTGAATGCCAGTGTAGCTATGTTCGGTATGCGGTTTGCACCTTCAAAGTGCAAAATGTTAATACAAGACTGGGTTGGTCCAGCAACCAGGCTCACTCTAACTGGGTAAGTAATAGAGCAAGCGGATAGGTTTTGTTATTTGGCAGCTACGTCTGACCCGGTCGACGCATCACAAAGTGTCAGCTCGCATACAGAAGGCTCCAATGGCATTTACTAACTTGAGACATCAGTGGCCCCGTCGTGACATCAGGTTGTCTGTGAAGGATCGAGTGTATGCCGCGGCAGTTCGACCAGTCCTGCTATACGGTGCAGAAATTTGGCCATTAAGGAAACGGGAAAAAGATAGACTGTCGGTGTTTGAACACCGCTGTCTACGCAGCATTGCACGAATCTGGTGGATAGCCGGATGAGCAATGCTGAGGTTATGGGCAGAGTTTTGGGTAAATACGGTCACCCACTGGAGCCGGGTGAGCAATGCTGAGGTTAGGCGCAGAGTTTTGGGTATCCGCGGTCACCTACTGGAGTAACTGACCGACCTATATAGGTTACGTTGGTTGGGGCATGTGTTACGTATGTCACCAGATAGGTTTCCACGGCAAGCGATGTTCGCCGAGGCAAGTGGTGGGTGGAAAATAGCCAAGGGTGGTCAAGCTAAGACCTGGAACGAGGGCATGAAAACCCTAACCAGGAGACTGGGTCACTTAGATCCTGCTAGGCTCCCTGGATGGGTACCTCAGGATGATCGTACCCGGTAGTTAGAGACACTGTGTGATACGGCTGGGTGTCGCAACCAGTGACGTTCGTGCATCTCCTCAATTTCTCTGCAACATTACAGCACTGAACTTCTCCATTTTTTGTTTAACTCTTCTTTCAAGTTTCCTGTCTTCTCCTATTCCTCATCCAACTGGGAAGCCCAAAGCAGCAGCTAAAACCGGCGCACGAAAGTGCATGGTTAGGGATTGTACAAACTGAACTGAAACTGAACATCCTGCATCACTTGTGGTTTTCTCGAGGTAGAAACTTGATTGACTGCTTTTATTTTTTTACCACATCATGACCAAATGATGTTAGGAGTGTATCGAAAAATCGATGCGCCATGTGTTGTTTTATTGTGAATGTTAATGTTATAGTGTTAATAACACAGCGATGTCGGTAGAGAATTATATTCGCCGACGTTTCAATTTGATCAATTTGACTGTAAAACCTGCCTTGAGAAAGATTACCCACGGTAACTGAAACGTCGGCGAATATAATTCTCTACTGACATCGCTGTGTTATTAACACTATAACATTAACATTCACAATTGATTGACTGCTGTTTTAACATGTGTTCATTTTGATCGCCGGGTTCTTCCCAGTTCTTCCCGCGAACAACTGTGAACACCCGAACTCTGAGAGCAACAAACCTTGAACCGTAATCCATTAGGGGGAAATTGGCACCAAATGGAGGTGAAAAGATTTCCCGTGTGTGTGTGTGCGTGTGTGAACTGGTGAGCATTCCTCGCCATTGCCTATAACCGTGACCCTACTATAGACAATGTCGAAACAATGTTTATTTGCTCACATGGTAACCGTTCCCTCGTCGAGCCCGCGGTGGCCTTATCAGTATTTCGCACCTCTGAAGTATTTCTCCTTCCACACACCAAACTCGACACAGTGGAAATCAAAATTATCCATACACTATCTTGATATCCCTTCTTATCGTGTCAGAAACGATTAATCTCATTGGGACGGCCGTGGAAATATATGCAGCCGGATGGATGGTCACATTAGCACCTTGTGATGTGTGCTAACGCGTGACTTTCTCTGAGAAATCGGCACGCAGGTGCAACCAAAGTGAATGAGGGTGTACACGTGCTTTCGTGCACATGAATCGTGTGATTCTGGCTCTCGTGGCTTTTCAGTCACCGCAACTGTGGTGATCCCAGGTTGCGAGATGACGCATACCTTGGAGTGACGCATTACAATTTTAGGACAACTGTGATCAATCAAACTTCACGGGTGAGGTCAGCAAAGCGCGTGCGTGGGTGCCATAGCGTCTGGACTACATATCATAGGTCGATTGTAGCAGCCAATGAGAAACTACGGGACCCAGACAGAAGCGGAACAACACCAGAAGTAATAGGACGCGACTGGCAGAGGCCCGGATAACTAATGAGTTTATTTTGTGCACATTATTTAATCCTCCTTATTTCTTTTAATAAACGAACTAATAATCTTGTGGCCTTTTTGTCACTTCTCGGTTACTAGGGTCATTGTGTGCAAGTGCTTACGTGACGTCCGTGACTGCTAATCCGTGTTTCGTTTTCCATAATTCGTGTTTCATGTTCATTTCGTGCTACTACTATCATTACTACAATCACTACAGTTCCGAATTGTCGTATATCGTGAATGTGGAAAAACGTGAAGTGTGAAAGCAATATCACGGTTACTTGGCGCAAATGCTGTCCTGGTAAATGAAGACGGTTTTATATGTGCCCTACAAATTATGAGCGAGTAGAAACAATTCATTCATAATCCGGAGTTTGACATAAATTCATTGTGGATGTGAAAATCTTCATCCGAAGTACGGAAATCTGTGGATCCAGAATCCTTCTTGATGTATCCGATTTTTGTGAAGATTCATGATGTGACCGGACACAAACTACCAGTGGTGGAAGAAGTATCCTTAATGTTGTAATCGGGTGCAAACCGGTCGATTTATTTCCGGCTCCCGGTTGCCAAATGTAGTCCATTATTTATGGTCTGATTGCGATGCGCTCCTTGAACCAATCCGCGTCAGTTATTCGTTTTCCGTGATTCGTGTTTCGTGTCCATTGCGTTTTACTATTACCACTTCTACTGCAATCACTACAGTAACTCACAAATCGAAAGAATTCGGTTGTTGTAAGGTTGAATTGCCACTTTCTTTCTACGAACGTTTCGATGTCAAAGCGGTTTACACGCAGTGGATCGATGAAACTGCCAGGGTTTGTTGCAAAACTTCACGCTTTTGATGAAGCTGCAACTTAAGCACTCGAAAATTGTTTATGACATGAAACCATTTCGTGTGTATTCGGTTTCTATACCAAAGCGTTGCCTCCATGATCATTCGCTATTCCGAGAGGAGAATCAAGAAGAGTAAATGGGACGTTCCGTGTTCTGAGGCCATAGAAAAGATTTGATCAAGGCCTACTGGATGATCTCATCTATTCTCGCTGCTCACCGCAACGAACCAGACGCTGTCTGGTTAGTTTAATCGAGGTCACAGCTAGAGCTTGCTTCAGGAAATCCTGGTCGCGATGACCACCGGCTCTA